ACGCCCCCAGGAGGTGAGCCGGCCGTTGAAGCAAAACTGCCTTTTTTTTCGAGGCAAGAAAAAAGCAGGCCCTTCGTGCTGATGCTGCCGCTTGTGTCAAAATAAGCGACATGTTTAGTACAGGTGCAGGTCCATCTTCAGCACCCGTGGCCGATATTGGTGGTGAGGAAGATGATGAGAGGGAGAGAGTGCAGCGCGAGTGGGGAGAGGGAGGAGAACTCGCGGTAAGCAGAAGCTAAGAAAATTAGGAAAAGATTATTATTAAGGTTATGATACTCTGTAGTTCTGGAACCCATTAATATCCCCTTGATGAAGCACTAATAAGACAAATATTATAAGAGAAACATTCGTTAGCCTACAAGCTAGTAAGCTGGCTTTTTTAGGTTTTCCCTGGCAAGTTAAAATATAGCTTAATGGGACTCTGATACGTTGTCTCATTGAAAGAATGTCATTATTTTGTTAACCACCATTCATGAACAATTACTGTCAGATGGCAGCTTGTTTTGTTTAGTTTATTTACTTATGTGGTTATAAGGGCAACAGTGTCTTTTGGGACTTGAAAAAAATGTTTATAGTCAGCTTTTTGTGGTAGTTTTGATTGACAATATATAGAATGAATAATATAGAAATAGATAAAAAAAATTGAGGCACACATGTAGCTTTGACCATTAACTGTGTGGTATTGTTATGTCAATGCCTATTTGTATGGACCTCTATCAGGGACCAAAGAGGTCACCTGCATCCTTTTTGACTTTCCCAAAGCCCCCCAACTACACTCACACATGCAAACAACACACACACACACACACACACACACACACACACACACACACACACACACACACACACACACACACACACACACACACACACACACACACACACACACACACACACACACACACACACACACACACACACACACACACACACACACACACACACACACACACACACATAGTGCCCCTCTCCACAACAAGCATTCATTTGAGTTATTTCAGTCTAGTATATAAGTTACTTTGTGTGTACAGTATATATATACAGTATATATATCTTGCTAGTTGTGTACTTTTGTAATTTATGTGGGATTTCTGTCAAATGTTGCTTCAACTCTCTTTGTAAATTTAAATCTGTCTCTTTCAAACCTATTCTCAGGAAAAAAAATAAAGACAATGGATAGTATTTTTGGTTAAGCCTGTGTTCCTTCAGTTCTGTGTGCTCTGTGAGGTTCTGAGAAACCAGCCGCCTAAGACTTGCACTATAGCCCCTTGCGTGCGTCAATCAATCACATTTGATTTATATAGCCCAATATCACAAATTACAATTTGTCTCAGAGGGCTTCACAGTGTGTACAGGTACGACATCCTCTGTCCTTAGACCCTTGCAGCGCTCAAGGAAAAACTCCCCAAAACAGACCCCACAATTAACAGTGGAAAGTAGGAAGAAACCTCTGTGAGAGCAACAGAAAAGGGATCCCTCTCCCAGGACGGACAGACGTGCAATAGGTGTCGTGTGTACAGATGAAAAAGGCAATACAATTACAGCGATTAAAAAAAGGATGGAAAAATTTTATGAAAGCGTCAATGTATATAAAAAGATGCCGTCGACTCATCCTGTAGACTCATCTGGTCCTATCTCTATTGTGTTGTCATAGAAAGGGGAGGCAGGGCACTATAGGGTCCCCCCCCCCCCTAAATTCACTAGAAGTCATCATTTAAGGGGTTATTTAAAAAAAAATTCTTCTGTGGGGGGCATACCCCACCAGACCTCCCTATTAGTGCTCGGTCACTGTTCGCTTTGTGAGAGGGTTTGAAGGTCTAATTTCTAATGATTGATAGTTACACATACTTGTGGTATGTATTAGTTTTGTTTGCCCCTGGTACGTAAAAAGGATAATAATAGCGTTTTTTTTAATTACACTGAGTTATTCTTCTTGTCAGGAACCGCTACTATTCGTTTGTTTTATGGATTTGGGCCGGTCTGGGTCTAAATGCCAGGGCCGATTTGCTGTCCCAGTCCAGCCCTGAACCCAACAATAAGTACTTTCTCAATTTTAAATACCAGCAACCTTTATCATCCACGTAGACACTCCACCTACTGTCTCCATAGTTAATCACAGTAGCGAGCCATGACTTTTATTCCTAGGCCCTCTGACCCACCCCCTTCCCTCAAAAAAAAAAAAAAGTTATTACGTCACAGCGTATACTTCAGCGGAATATCAAAACAACGGCCCAGGGTGCAAAACGCATCAATGAAATCGACCCTCTACCACACAAAACAACACCTGTAAATAACCCAATTTGTGTTCTTTGAAATTGAAAAGGATATTGCATTGCGTTTGTTACTTTTGTTGCAGTTGTATGTCTTAAAGGTAGGGTAGGTAAGTTTGAGAAACCGGCTCGAGATACACTTTTTGTTATATTACATGGAATGCTCTTAACATCCCGATAGCAATGAATATCTTAAGTGCTTTGACACTTGTCAAAGCGTCGGGCCGAACCACGCCCCTTAGCTGTGATATAATGGCCATATGCCACGGCCTGTCGTGAGCTATTGCTTAATTATAAATGCTGGCAAGACATAATCTGCTTAGCGTACCCAGCTCTGATACAGTGTGTGTGTGTGTGTGTGTGTGTGTGTGTGTGTGTGTGTGTGTGTGTGTGTGTGTGTGTGTGTGTGTGTGTGTGTGTGTGTGTGTGTGTGTGTGTGTGTGTGTGTGTGTGTGTGTGTGTGTTATCTGAACTTTCCACAGATATACACATCTTAGTCCTGTCACTTTGTATTCCCATTCCTGTGAATCAAACAGATCATTTTATACCGAAAGCCTCTCTTGACATGAACTGAGTGTGAGGCCTCTCTCTTTATTTGTTTGTCTAAAGCGGTTTGATCATATCTGAATGAGCTGTCTTTATCTAATCGAAATTTGGCAAACGAACAAGCACAACGCCCTTGCAAGGCAGCCAGTCAATGCTACGATTCAATAACGCCTAAATGAAGAAAAACCCACGTTTTTTCTAATGACATGAATCAATACGGACAAATTGACCTAGGGTCATTTAATGGGAAAGACATTTTTGTAGACTTCAACTCCAACAAACTCAATACAGGGACGCAGAAAGAACAATGAGAACAAGGTGAATACATAAATAAACAGCATTACACTTCCGGAGAAGAAAACTGCCGTGACCTTCGTCAGCTGTGAAAGTCGCCTCGTCTTCAAGTTGCAACAAGACGTGGCCCCGAGGCACAAAGCAACTTCAGACTCTGGAGATTGTGAAGAAGATGAGTCAGAGGAGGAATGAAGGCAGTCTGACTATCTTAAACTCAGCCTTGAACATGTATAGTATTTTTTCTCTCTCTGCAGCGAAACTGAAAAGCAAGAATATTTTCTCAGTGATCTGACATTTGCTTATTGCATTTTCCCGTACTATTGCATAGACTCTTGAAATGGTATAATGGAGACAGGCTATAAAGGAAAGAGTGAATCCTTTAGAACATGTCATTTACAGTTAACGCAGCTGCTCTGCCTGGAACCTCGCTGTGTTTTCCTGCTGATCTCTCCAAGGACAAAAGGTTCAAAGTGCTCCAGAAATAAACCTCTGCAGATTCAGATGTGACTGTTTTGGCAGTAAAACATGGATGTATAAAGATAACTGGGTGCAGTGTTGGATGCGGGACCCCGTTCATTCCTACAAAAGTTGCCCAAGTCTTTGGGTAAAAGTATTTTTGTGCTAAAAGACGTACAGTATGGATTTGGTTTTATATCACAGTATTTTGGGAAATGTAATGCTGCGGTAAATGCATTGATGCTGTGATCAGATTTGTGTTAGTTGGGCACACCAAATTAAAACCCATTTTGAACTACAATTTCCATCCGCAATGTCATGTATGCATACATTTGATCAATCTTTCTTTTTCTTCCAGGCTGTTCTCTTCCCAGCATTGGTTTCTTTCATGAGTCATACAGTGAGTGGATGAGATTGAAATGCAGATACTCTCGTGCATGCGTGAAAACATGTTTTAAACATGGCTCAGAGGAATAAGTAACATGTGCATGTGAACAAGGAAGAGTGCACGGAAATACACATCTCATACCATACATACTGTAGGAGGGGACACTCAATCTGCACCACACAGAACATTGTGGTGGTGTGTGTGTGTGTGTGTGTGTGTGTGTGTGTGTGTGTGTGTGTGTGTGTGTGTGTGTGTGTGTGTGTGTGTGTGTGTGTGTGTGTGTGTGTGTGTGTGTGTGTGTGTGTGTGTGTGTGTGTGTGTGTGTGTGTGTGTGTGTGTGTGTGTGTGTGTGTGTGGATGCAGTGGTGGAACAAGCATTCAGATGTTCTACATAAGAGTAACAATAGTAACTTGTATACTAGTATATGATTGTTGACGTGTTAATGTCTCTATCACTGCTTGTAAAGGTGGAGCTGATATTATTTCCTTTATGGTAAATGGACTGCATTCATATTATTTGTCCTTTAAATGCTGCTGCTGTGAATCTTAACTCATAATGATATGTTCATGTATTATTTGATATTACAAGGCCAGGGACCCCCCCCTTAACCCACCCCATTAACAACACTAAATATGTACAGTATTATGTCAAATTTTCATTGCACTAATTATGTTTGTATATTTATATTTGGTGTAGATATTTCTCTTTTTTTTAAATATAATTTTAATTACCTTTTGAAATATTACATTTTTATAATTGTTACATTTTTGAGCTTTCACTTACAATTTATTTCCTATAATTGTGTTTATGTTTGCACCACGATATATTATAGCAATTTCCTTCAATGTGTAACCCTACTTGGCAATGAACCGGATTCTGAAAGATAAATGTAGTAACAATTAGACAACTAACAATTAGAATATTGGTTTCCAAGATGTAGTGGAGTGAAAGTATAAAACAGTATAAATAGCACCTCTAAATTGAACTTCAGTATTATACTTGAGTAAATGTACTTCACTACGTTCCTGTCCTGTGAGTGACTCACCGTCCATGTCGAGTCTCTGCATGATGATGGCCAGCTCCACCTCACTGGGCATGTATCCCAGAGAGCGCATGGCCATGCCCAGCTCCTGTTTGGAAATGAAGCCGTTTCCGTCGTGATCCAACACCTTGAACGCCTCCCGGATCTCTGCCAAGACAAATGGGAAATGGAGTCAGCATCTATAGTATGAACAATGCCCCCCCCCCTGCTTCACACAAACACATGTTCATTTACAGCACTGTGTGTGTCAGTTTCACTTATTTCTTTACGCTCATCTGTATTTTTGGAATTCCTTTCTTTGGCAGTGATACACATCGCATTAATCTTGCATGTTATGATTCCTGACAGCATTTCACCCAGCCCCCCTCCCCCCTTTCATCATCCCTCACACACCTTTCTACCCCCCCTCCCTCTATCTTCCTGTCTGACCCAGCTTCGGGCTGCGGATTATACAATTGGTCTCGCACCACTGCCTCAGTTAACAAGATCAATTCCACCCATTGATTCATTTTCTCCACCTGCTGTCACAGCCGCGCCACATCTGCTCGCTTTAGTCATTTCACATTCTGTGTGTCCCTTTATTCTCTCCAGCTTCTGAAAGTCACTTCCACTGAGCCTGCACTGTACAAAACCACTCCTGCTGTGTACATTTCTCTTTATCTTTGACAGTAAAAGAATCAGGAAAAATGTCTGATCTAGATATTTCAGGTAGGGCTAAAAAACTTGAAAGAACTGATCTGTTGTTGTATGTCATACACATGCAAAGTATTCTAATTCTATTAAGTATTCGAGCAGTAAATGAAAACATTGGAATTATTTTAATAAAATATTCTTCCTCGCAGCACAAAATAGAAGATGCTACGTCCTCTTATTGTTTTTGATGTGATCCATCTGCTTGGAAGCTCTAGGATTATTGATCCCAACATTTTTTATATAATTATCACATTATAGCAATATCTTTGCAGCACACTGCAGGACCAAATACAATAAGTTAGGGTATCGATTTCTCGTCTTGCATTTGAGGCGCACAGGTGGCAAAACAAGGCTGAATTGATGTATACTGTTGGGGGATATATGCATTCTATGTATAACCTTGGAGTGTATTGCTTTGGTATGATCTCAGACAAAAATTGATTTTGCATGTCTCCAATTATCTGCATCCTACAGCTTTGACCGTCCCTCAATTCAACACACTTAAGGCTTGCGGATTACAGAGGTGGGGACTCGAGTCACATGACTTGACTCGAGTCACATATTTTTGGATTTGAGACTTGCTTGACTAACATTGATAAAAGACTTGACTTGACTTTGACTTGGTATCCATGACTTGAGACTTGACTTAAGCTTGAGACAGATGACTTGAAAGGACTTGACTTTTTTAAATTAAATATTTGCGTTTGTTTTTGTATTGAGATATTACGTTTAGTTTTTTCGAAATGTGATTGGGTGATTATAGCGCCATGCGCGCAAACCTGGCAACCCACTAGACGGCAGGAGTGTCAGTTAACATGGCAGCGGCTAGCGTTACTCCAAAAATAGTGAAGTTTGGATTCAAGGATTATGTTGTCGATGACGCTAATAAGAAGAGAACAGCGGTATGCAGGGTCTGCAGCATAAAGATCAGTGACACGACCACCACAACATCCAACTTCATTCGTCACTACAAAAAAACCCACAGAGAAAGGTGCGTGAATGTGTTGTGTTAGCTAGAAAGCTAACGTTAAGTTTAAGCTACGTTAGACTTGGTTTCAAATCGATGAAGCATTGCAAAGAGAAGACAAAACGGTAAATGAACACTAGAACCGCCAAGGGATTCATTTTGACTAACCCTGATACTGACGGGCTGTCAGGAGAGGGAGAGAGAGAGAGAGGAAAAGAGATGCCTCGTTTATTTCCCCTGTGTTATTATCAGAAGTTACTGTAAACTGTTGAATAATGTAGTTCATCTACTTTTAGTAGTTTGTTTAAATGTTTTAATTATGTTGTTTTTGTTTGTAGAAGTGCATCATTCCTTGATTTATTGTAAAATGAATCTGAACTTTTTGATCTGTTATGATGATAAACTGAAGCAATTTCTAAATTAACCCAATTAAGTGAGTTTTAAATCGTCCTACTTAGTTTATAAGGATGAAGAGGAACAAATTAAATGATTTGAAAATGATATCTATGGAGGTGCTGACGCTGTTGGAGGTTCTAGTGTTAACAGACATTTAAATTAAATATGTTTAATGGCAAATATATGATTTTCTTACCTGGAATTCTGCCTTTTTGAACAGACTTTTTGACTGAGTCCTATATATTGTCTGCAGTTCTAGGGTTAATATGAATCTAATATGATTGTCATCGGTCTAAATTAGATTTCAAATGATTAACTGTGTATGTAATGAAGATCATAGTGTGGGTTAAATCCATTTTCATAACCACTGTCTTTTAACTGATTTAAATGCGGAAACTGGGCTTATTCATCAGAATTTCGTATGACTTGACTTGACTTGACTTGACCTGAGCAATGACTTGACTTGACTTGCTTGACTCTCACCACAGTGACTTGGGACTTGCTTGATACTTGTAGTTCAAGACTTGAGACTTGCTCATGACTTGCACATGTAGGACTTACTCCCACCTCTGGCGGATTACTTAGATTAGTATAATAAGTTCTCACAGCTTGATCTACAAATGTGATACTTCTTTAAAATATAGACCCGAAGTGGAAACTTTGAAAGGGAAACTTCAACACCCAGCCAGCTGGATTATTTATGACCAAGTAAGGGGTCAATCCAGAAATATATCTCTATTAAATCTTAGGTAATCTGTTACTGCACAGTCAGCAGGTGTCATTAAATACTCTAAGTTATTATAGAGTGGCATTCTGATGACAAATGTCGTAGGTAAATCCGGACGTGGACGTCGCAGGGGCCCCCCAGTATTGCAGAAGATAAGCTCTGTGTTAAACACTCGTAATGATACTGACACGTTTTGTTCTGCAGGATAATCCCCACATACTAACACCACTTTATGATTTTTGAACCTTAAATGTAATAGGCAGTAAAAAGTAAATGTCGGCTATAAACAAAATACATCAAGGTCACATGACTTCACGTCACCACTTCTATGCTTAATACGGCATATATTTGGCGTGATGGCGTTTAGTAGTTTAATTTTCAACCTTGTTAGACCCGCTGTTTTTAGGACACATAGAGGCTTTGGACTTTCAACAGTGGAATATTTACTGACGTAAACAAATAAGTTCTAAATATCTTCTTCAAAAATGTTTTGACTTTGAGACAAGGGAACTGAAATGCTAAAATGCTAACTCATTTCCCGGTTCAAGGACTCATTCCTGCACCACTCTATTAGTTCAATAATCTTAGAGGAAAATAACTTAATAAATGCTTTATTCATCACCCTGATTCTGGTGGAGGTTCCTTACTTCTGTGGCTTAACTCATCTTATAAACATATTTATTTTTCCTGTAGGGCTCAGAAGCAGGTCCCAGTCAAGGTTCCCCATGATCAGATGTGGGAAATAGTGAACGTGTACACTGTTACCCTTAAAATATGAAGTTGCATTTAACTTATAGAGCCCAAAGTCATAAATATGCCTCAGAGAGACATTACACAGCAAGGATTGTAAAAAGTGTGAAACAGGTACACATGTTTTCCTCTTTCCCGTACTGTTAATCCTTTTGAGAGCCTCAGAGTGTGAAACACTGCACCTACTTTTACTTCATGAAATGGCTGTGTCTTTAGCTGCAGTGTGGAGCCAAAGAAATGACCTTTGTGGTTTCCCATAATTGAACTTTTCTAGTCACAAGCACTCATGACAAATTCTACAAATGCACAAAACAAAAGCGCACCAATGAACATCAGAAAACCCTTTGTACTGCAGCTCTATACAAACACCAATCTGGTGAAGCTCATACATAATATTCAACATTACAAATGGACTAGCAGAAAGACAATTTGTTGTGATTTCGCTATAGTGCTGTTACTTATTTTGTTTGTTTATTTGTAGCCTTTATTTATCCAGGTAAAAATCCCATTGAGATCAACGATCTCTTTTACAAGGGAGACCTGCCGTGTGTTATGTTTGGAATATATCATAATGTCCTGCTCACGATAGCACATGCTGTATCAGGACCCTTACACCAGCAACTCCAGAACAGAAAGTTATGAAGAACATTTACAAAAGGCAGAAACGCACTTTTGGAGACATAATACAAAATTGGCTTTGTGAAGAAATACACACACAATGCGTTTGGAGAGGCGGTCTTTACCACTATAACCCCTGCTCAAAAGGACATCAGGTTTAATGAAGGCTTCAGCAGCTTCTAGAAGGAGTTCTCTGCATGTTTTCTTAAGAACAAATGCAGTACAATGAATCAAACTAAAACAATTCATGCTCATTCATTCTGCCCCAAATCAAATGTTATGCCCCTTTCCTACCAGTGGTGGAATTTAACTAAATGCATTTACTCAAGTACTCAAATTAAGTATTATTTTAAGGCAATAGTACTTTCGATTTTTTTAATAAAAAACTAGAGTTTATAAAATGAGATTTTTTATAAATGAAATGAGCCAACCCTTTTAGTAAAGCTGAACTTTTAATCAAGTAGCAGATTGAAAGAAATGTAATTGACATCTGTACTAAATGTTTTTGTATTTATTAAAAAGGATTTGTATTTCTCTGGGTATATATTTTTTAATGTTCTGTTAGATGTTTCTGCATAGTGTACTTTTACTTTAAAAGCCTTAACTTTTTAGGGTTCTATGGGGACCCTGTTAAGTCTTCAGCAATTGTAATATCAGGTTGTTCTTTTTTAGTCTATCACCCAAGATGAGCCCCTTTATTTGATTCTGATATTTAAAATCAGCATGTTAGCTGCAGTTGTTGTTTCTTCACAATGTCTGCATACATGTTCAGTTGTATTTTTACTGAACTGCCTCACTGAATGAAGATGAAATGCCTCCTTTGTACACAGTTGCGTCAGCAGCTGTTCGCTGGCTGCTCGACGTGTGATCAAGTCATCAGGGAGACCAACAGGCTCCGTGGGCTTTAATAAATGCATCTTTCATACGTGAGCCTGCAGACAGAAGGCTGTACGGCGAGGAAAGAGGGAGAAAGTGACAGGCTGCTGATTTCAATAG